GCGCTGTTATGGGTCAGCAACCATTCGGTGAGGGTAAAATGTCAGGTAATAATAAACCCGGTTCTCCGTTTTACTTGCTGCGCTGTTGTTACTCGTACATAGATATCCCTATTGAACAAATTTTCAAATTTTTTTGAACTCCTTTTTCAAATTTTGAATTACTTGTTCTTAAAATAAATATGATTTATTTAAATATTCTTTGAAAAAATTGAAATACCAAGTCCAAATTATCAAGTAAACAATGGGTCAATTAAAGGTTCAAAATGGGGATATATCAAGTATTCAATGGGAGGTTCTAGACGACGGGAAGTGATACTCTTAGTTATTGATATAACAGATAAAGGGCTGCAAACATAATTAATTACGCGCGTCTAGTGGATGGAAATCTGACATGTGAACAAAAGGATGAAAAGAAAATACTACAATCACTTGACAAAGCTATGTCAGATATATAGTAAGGTCCCCTTAATTGATTGCTTGAAATAGTTTTACTAGTGCACGGCTTTGAACTCAAAATATGGTCTGATGCGCATAGATTTTAATGAACCCTATTCGATTAAAGAATTAGAACAATCTTACAATAAAATTGCTAAAGAGGATCGTTCTATGAAGATTTACAAACCATCGGCTAGAACATTCCAACTTAAGCAATCTACCTCGTCTTTGTTTGGCACAGACGTGATCTGTGAAGATTATATGATAAAAAATAGGGTGAAATCGAATGCCACGCCTATAAAAATTGTATAAAACTATTGAGGAGACGTACAAGGGGAGATGAATGCATATTTTTGATACATTTATATAAAAAAGATTATATATTACATTCTTGTATAAGTTATATATGGAAAGAATTATCAGTTATTCATATAAGGTGTTGGACTCGAACCATCTTTAAATTTCATCGAAATATCTCAGAAGCAGCCTTTACGTTGAACGCAAAACGAAGACAGGCGGACAAGCTTAAATCCATATAATAAAAGGTAGGTCTACCTCAAGTCCTTGTGAATGTTACTTGCATCCGAGTAAACTTTACAGTGGTGTAGGGTGTACAAATTGTGATGCTACCTAAAAAAAAAAAAAATGTTTCATTGAAGCAGAAGCATTGGAAGGGAAATTAATATATTTACTGTTTCGATAATTAATATAAAAAAGCATTGATAAGCGTAACGAATTTATAAATATTGTTAAAAAAAAGATATTTAAGATTCATAAGATGATGAAAATATTATTATTAACTGGTTTGTTCGGCTTGCCGGCACCTGAGTAAATTCAGGTAAACCACTTCCCTAAGCACATTCAATATTTTCGACAAAATAATCCAATCAAATCCATGCTACAAAATTTGATATTCCTTTAGATACAAGCTAGTAAACAAAATATTTAGATTGTAACGTAAACTATCTTACGTTATTTGTTGAAGTCTTTTTCAGATTAAGTTCGTACCGCTGAATTGTGATTTATAGAGAGAAAGCACGCCAGTTGAATTTGAAAATTCTTTAGGCACACTGGCATGAATTCTATGGTTGAAAAAGCTTATCCGCATGAACAGCTCAGTAGATAAAAATCAGCCGAGCCCATATATATATATATATATATATATTATATATATAGAAAACTATTACTATCACTTGCTGACCATATCGGATTTTTAGCTACTTTAAGGAATTTAAGGAAATCTATTGCTTTGTTGCATTTCATCAAAAATGTATATTTCATTAATTTGTTACAAAAAACAAAAAATACTGACAAATCGAGGTTTTCTTCAATACTAACGGCTATACATATAAGGAACTCTAGACAACCAGTACATATATAGCATGAAAAAATTCGATGCAAGCAAATTAAAGTAGAAGAACGAAATCATAGTTCCTTCACAAATGCAATTTATTTGATTTGATAAAAGTTGAAATCTATATTTTAATTACAATTATTTATTTATTTATTTATTTTTATTTTTTTTTTTTGCTTTGATAAGTACCCATACACATAATTATGTCTTTAATATATTTGAGTACTTGAGTAAATATTATATAAAAAATTTGTATAATTGAATACATGTTGTAATATATTTTTTATTGCATATATTTTATATAATAAAACTGAAAAAATATGTGTAAAAGTTTTTTATATTTTATCTACTTATTAATACAATTTCTAAGAAGATTTTTATTTAAATGAAGGGAGCTTTGAGAGAGAATTTGCTTTTGATTGCTTGATATATATATATATATATATATATATATATATATATGGATTCCTTCATAATGAATTTGACTAAGTCGACTTAGAATATTTGCGGATGTCCGATTTTCTTAGATGTGAGATAAAATTAAATGAAATTTAATTTAATTAAAAAAAAGCATCAAAATTCGTTGTCTATAATCAGTTTGAGAATGGATGCAAAAGGATTGTCCTTATAAAGCGATAGCTTATCTACTTTAGTACTGTGTATTTGTACTTTAGTGCCTCAAACTTTGAGACTTTGAATACCTTAGCTTAGCTTATGAATTATTCGAAGGAGAATGCAAAGACAGATCCTGTAATATTACTTGGGAACTTGTTAAGCACAATTCTATGGGTGCAAGGACAATTAAACGGTATACATCATTATTTTAGATTTATGTGATCGCGAGAGATTTACTAACGGTAGTGTTTTCGCTCAATGTTTTCTGAAGATCTTTGGAATGATGTACTTACCTGAAAAATTTCTTCCTTTAGCTGGCGGGTATCCGAATATTTTCGAAGTGAAAAACTTAGATTTATTCAAATCTACAAAAGCTCAAATTCGTCAATATTACAAGTAATGTTTCAATATTTTTATTTCTTAACTGAAAATTTATCTTTGATATCTTGTTAAGATATTTTTGCAAATATTGTTAATAAAAAGAAGAAGGTAAACAATATGAAGAAACTTAGCAAAGCCGAACCTTTTCGTAGGCTTAAAGGTTCTATATATTTTAATTATCAATTAATTTTTTAACTTCACACTAGCATCATTTTAATTGCACTCTAAAAATAAAGATTTATCTTAAGAATATTAAAATCTTAAATATTTAAAAAACTATTTTTCTATGATAAAAAAAAATCTCACGAAAATTTAGTGGACCAATGTGTAAAACATGAAGGCTTGGTTCAAATTAATGTGGAAATCAAATATATAGTTAAACGAATCAACATTTTGGATGTCCTAAAGCCCACTGAAGACGCATTGGGTAAGTTATTCATTAAAACACGGGACAACGGCTTTAGAACTTCATCTTTTCTTAAATTTGGAGTAGCGGCCTTGGCTGAGCAAGAGAATTGTAAAACAAATTCCACTTCGGATGATAAACAATGCAAACGCAATGAATATTCCCAATCCTTCCAGGGCGCTGAAGAAAAATCCCCATCCAAAAAATGTAAAAGCGGTCATGAAAGCGCTTCTACTTCCAAAAAAGAGAAACCTTACCTTAATTGGGTATTGGATAGCAAGTTTCGCAAGGAACAGGCATGTCTGAAAATACCCGACAATCCCAATGATTGGACAGTAGCTCATGTGAAATATTGGTTTCAATGGGCCATTAAGCAATTCGAATTGGTGAGTTTTTTACATATAGAAATCTATCGTTTGTCTTAACATCTTAATATTCTCAAAGACTAACTTTAATATGAACGAATGGTCAATAACGGGTCGTCAACTTTGCACACTCACTCATGAAGAGTTTCATAAGAAATTGCCTAAAGATCCTGGTAAAGTATTTTGGACTCATGTGCAGTTGCTGAAAGAATGTAAGTTTGTGGCTGTTGTACATAAAGCTGCTGAAAGTGAATTAATGGAAAATAACGCAGAATTAAGTAAAAACACACCGGCCTTGTCTGCCATGCCACGAGAGCAAAAGATAATGCGCAAAAGTTTCCATAATACTAAGAAAGAAAGTAAGTCGTGATGGTCAAGTTGTTTAGGAAATTTCTTAAATATCCAATTGGTTAACACTTCTTTTAGCTGAAGTGGCTTTAGGCTCAGATGGTTCAATTACTCATAGCAATTATGGCATCGGTTCCGGAAACAACGGCCAAGTACAATTGTGGCAATTCCTCCTTGAGATACTTACTGATCGCGAACACGTGGACATAATTGAGTGGGTAGGTGATGATGGCGAAAGCTTACTGATCCGGAACGTGTAGCACGTCTTTGGGGCGAGAAAAAAAATAAGCCTACTATGAATTATGAAACACTGTCGAGATCCATACGATACTATTACTACAGTAATATCATATCTAAAGTGCCCAGCCAACCTTTTACGTACAAGTTCGATTTCGATCTGAAATTTCTGATTGGTTATAGCGCTCGCGAATTATCGACTTTGGTTAATGAAAAAACTTTTTAACATTTTATTTTTAACAGTTTTTTTTTTGCTTAATTTCATTTAGTTTTCTTATCACTGAAACTGTAAAAAAAAGGATGTAATTTTGTGTTCTAATAGGTTAAAAAAGAGGATGTAATTTTGTGTTCTAATCGGTTATTTTTTTTGATATCGTTTTTAAATCGTTGATAGTTTATTTTCAATTAATTTTTATAAATATTAGCCACGTGAGTTTTTCTTTCTTGACTAATTTGTTAGGTTTATCATTGAAATCGTGCCGAATGTCTTATGTTTTTTTTTTGTTTTACTCAAGTTCACCAGAAATGTTTGTTAAATGAAATATGCAAATATTTTATGGAAAGTGTTAAATAATTAGTTGATCTAAAAAGAAGCTTAGGAAAAGCAAAACTATTTTTGTACTAAATAAAAGAAAATTAAATAAATCTATTGGATTGGTAATGGAATAGTTGAATTTAATCCATTTCTTTTTTTGTTTGATTAAAAATGTGAAACAACTTCATTAGAAGTACTTACAGGTTTAATTCTGTTTCTACTGAGAATGAAATATTTTTTTTTAGATCTTGAATACATACATTCCGATATTTTTATTAAGTTACATTCGTGTATAGATAACATAAAGACTTTCTAGCTTAATAGTTATTTGGTGGCAGACTCCTCATTTAGACTTTTATTTTTCATAAATAAATTAAGCAGCTTAACAGACTTGGCGATACCAATGTCGTTATAAATTAAATAGAAAAGACCTCCCAAAGTAGCCATGGATAATAACAAGAGAGAAGCATGAGATACTTTAGGTAAAACATTGCCAACAATAGCAGGGCGTACGTAATCCGTAATCGTGGCTTCAATACCCCTACAAAAAAAGGGTTTATAATGGTTGTATGAAAACGACGCATATATGGAAAGCATACCAGTGAGAGTGAATTACCAAAGATACGGCCATTAAATCATCTAGCGTTTGTGAGGGCACTAGGAAAGCGGCAGGTATAAGGTCTTCAACGAAGCTAAACGACCTGTCTTCAAGATATTTGCAGCTGTTTTTTTTTTTTTTATAAAAGATATTTATTATATAATCTCCAGTTCTATGAAGGTAAATAAATTTAAAGCTTTTTCATTTACCATTGATTCTGGGTGCGTTGCGTAGCGCTAGTTGCAAAGCCATTTTTATTTTATAAAATTTTTAGATTATGTGCAATATAGTTGTTTGCTCTCTTAAAACTTTGCTTAAACAAAATAGTGATGAAGTTTTCAGACAGAAGGAACTGAACAGAATGCGAATAATTTGACAGCTAATTTATGGGATAAATTTGCTTTCGTCGTTTCAGCGAATTTTCTTAGGATTTTCGTGGGCAAAGAGTAATCTGACATAGATTGCGATGCATTGATTGAATATATTTTTACATTACAAATTATACAATTTAATAATTTAGTTCATTCAGAGATTGTTTAGTAAGAGGTTTAAATACAAAATGTCAAACTGTAAAATACTGCCATCAAATGCAAAATATCGTAAATCTCATCTGCTTTCAAAGTGTCACTTACAGCTGATATAATTCCTTTATTAAAAGGGTCATGTCGAATGGAACATATTTTCATTCGTACACATTCCATTATTACATCAATTAATGATGTTCAACGTAAATATACGATGTAAAAATTCTGTATAGTCAGCCTTTTGTTTCACGTATAACAAAGTTTTTTTTTGGTTTTGTCATTTGGTAGATACTTCCAAAATTACTTCCAAAAATATCAACCAGCCCAACTTAAATATGCAGAACAGTAAATCGTCACATTGTGTACAGTTAAACGATTATAATCAATGATCTTAAATATAAAACGCGTTTAATGATTTTATGTAACGTATATCGTATTATGAGTGTTCACCTACAATTTTCTCTAAACCGTTCTCGTTATTTTGCAGAATCTCACCGTCATGTTTCCATACATACGCAACTTCTAAAAGTTCATCATAGTGGCATTAGGGTAGCAGATTTAGTCGTTATTTTAAGGCCTTGTTAGGATAACGGATGAGGCACGCGGATGGGCACAATATTCTTGTCGTTATATGTTTGAACGGGGTGAATCGGCAGGATCAATTTCTTCACCATACAATATTTCGCCCCCTTCTTCATCCATTTCGGGATTTTCATCTCCATCTTCTTCATCCTCGCCCTCTATCATGATGTTTTCATCTTCGTAACGACGGGTATCAGTCGAAGACATTTTATTTAACATGTGCGGATGTTTATTTTTCAAATGCTCGTGCATGTTGCTTATATGGAAATAGGCCATCGAACAGTAACGACAATGTATATACGCCCCATGCGGTAAATGTTTAAATTTGTGTACTTGTAAGTCACGCAATTTGCGACCATTAACATGCTCTTTGCACTCCAAGCATTGATGTAGCTTGGGTGAGATTCTTTTGAAATTTAGTACTGTACGGTTGTTAAGTTGATGCTAAATGTTAATGTGTTCGCGCCAAGTTTGCGTTGTATCGAATTTAATGCCACACTGTGGACAATTTATGGTGAAGCAACTAACCGTATCGCTATATTAGCGCTACTGCTGCTCCCAGCCCAGGAATCGCGTGACGGCCACGACATATTGCTGTTACCAAAATCAGCGCCATTACGCTGAACTAAAGCGCCACTCAAATCCAAGTCATCATCAAACTGATAGGAATGATGTTGACTGCTATCTTGCGCATTGCTACTCGAAAATTCATCGGAAGCATTTTCATTTGGATTATTGCCATTGCACTTGTTGGTGTTTTTATCCAAGTGCTTAAAGAACATTTGTTTGCGAACAAATTCCCCCTGGCAGACAGTGCAACGGAATGATTTGTAGGGCAAATGCCGGAATTTGTGGGACTGCAATTGGCCAATGGCCCCCTTTGTATGGGTAACAGTTACACGCTTATAACATTGCAAACATATAAAGGTTGTGCACCTCAACAATATGTTTACGCCAATAGACGTGCGATTCAAAATTTTCATAACATGATGGGCAATAATATGTGAAGAACATCGTAGCCTCGTTGAAAGTATATCGCGCCAAGCAATCTATTTTGCTGTTATGCATATATAAAAAAACCTTACGTTAAGTTATGTTTGAAATTGTACATTAACACGCATGTAAGAATACGTTTTCACAAGCGATCTGTACTAAATATAAAAAATACATTTATTTAGTTTTCCATCGATGATAGAATTTATATCCATTTTGTTTTTTGGAGAAATCAACCCACGTTATTTACTCTTATTTACTCTTTTCGTCTCTCACTTTACTTTCAACTGTTTAATAGCATATGTTTCGCGTCGATTGTCTTCAAAATATCTTCTTCAAATAAGAGCAGCTGTTTTCCAAAGATGATATTTATTGAATGGAATTATCGATAACTGAAAAATAGAAGTAGTCGATTGCTTTGAGTTTTCGATATATTACATTTTTGTCATTTATATTTTGCTTTTTTCTAAGATTGTGATTTGGGTGTTTGTATCCTTGGATAAGTGCGTAGCGCAAACTATTATTTTTAGCATTTCAAAAATTTACCGCGAAAGCAAGAAAGTTTTGTTAAGTGAAAAACGACTTTAGACGAAACGAACTGTTACATCGTTAAGATGTTATTAAACAACGTGAGTCGGGAGATAGCAGCCCGAGTTCCACAATTACGGTAAATTAACCGCCCGAGTCTTTTTACTATAACTGCAATGGAAAATTTGATGAAAAAATTAGTTGAATTAGAAAATAATATTTTTATTCCTATATCAAGCTCTTGACTTCATTTTAATAATCTAATATTCGACTATTATGACATCCCACAGAAAGTAATGAAAAAGTGATATTGACAAACTTCAATAAAAAGCGTCGTCGTCATCAAGGCCTGCTCCATGAAAGTCTTCTTCTCTCTCTCTATTCGTTTAAAAGATATATCTTTCAATAATAAAAACTACAACCAAAAGCTATTGAAATGAAGACAATAAGCAAGGTCTTAACAAAGACCATTTCATTTTATGTTTTATAGGTTTTACGTTTTTATATTTATATCTTTTTATGGCAGAGTTGTTAAGTGAGTTCTGCAAAATTTTTTGAAGTAATTGTATAGCGGCTAAATGTTTATATTATAAAGCCAAATACTATTTGGGCCTTATCCCTTATAAGAGGTCTAAAGAAAAATAAGCCCTTATGTGGCAACAAAGTCTAATTCACAATGTTTTGTGACATAAATAGATGAAGACTAATACGGTCTTTGGTAAGAAAGCGAAACTTTCTAAGTACGGACCACCTTTGTGTATGTTACAGAGCACGGGCCCGCTTCTATCTATCGATTCAGAATGGATTTATTCAAATTAAAACTTGTCCATCTGTCTATTTTTCTACCTATCTAATGTGTATTCAGTTTATTTTATACTCAAAGTACATCTCGCTTTCTTTTATAAAAGTGCTTTGGGCTCAATAATGAGTCTTATTCAAAATGCATTAAATGTAAGCTTAATTATGACTTCTCTCAATGTATTGCATTCGCAAATTCGTTATATGAAACATATGCACATCTGCAAAATTCCAATTACAAATAGTAAATTGATGTGAAAAATGGGGCAAAAGACTAATTTTTCTAAACCTCTTCTACGCAATACAACGTTTCTATAAAATTAAATCTTCAGATAATAAATCATTGTCATTGTTGTATAGTGTGAACTGGTTAATAATACTGACTTGACCTAAGACTTAACTGTATCAACTACGCCCGACATACGAGTTTTCATGAAAAAAGTCTAATTTTTAATATATTATGATCAATCAATTCCAAATGGCAATTTAACATACATATTAACGGTGGCAAATTTGGATTTCATAAATCCCAGCCCTACTTGAGAGTTCTTATGAAGTTTAACTTTTTGCACGGCGACAAAGGCTACTACTACTTAGTGGTATCATGGCTTTGAAACGACTTGGAATGGACTCAAAGGCATTCATAACACATTTAATGCACTTTTACTTTCTATATTTTCAATACTTGCTGACAATAGCACGGAGGGCTTGGAGAGCACAAAAACCTAAATTGTAATAAACTGAAATATATGAAATAATTTAAACATGTTATCGGAGAAAAAATCTTTTAAGACCTCTTTAACAAGCAGGAAAGAATTTTAAATAAAAATATAACCATCGCCTAGTTGGAGCTTATAGCAACAAACACTTTTTCAACCGTTTTGATTTGTCATTGGGAAAATCAAACTGGCCTTTCCTGTTGCAGTGTATTAATTTATATAATTTATATGTAAATATAAATAGCTTTGTTTATATAATAGCTTTATTTATGCAATAACTTTATTATATACTTAAAATAGCTTTGCTAATATATATAAAAATATATATATAAGAAATTGTTATTCTTTTTGATGATTTGGTGATTGTTTCCTTGACTTCGTCGCTTTTACTCTTCTACCATCTCCTCTAGATGTATAATGTTTTTGAAAATACGCGAACTAAACTTACTTAATTTTACAAATTCGGGACACGAGTCCGGTTTATCAGTTTGCTTGTTAGGTTTTGGTAGCAGCACCAACATTTGCTTTTCTCATATTTTCGGGAATACTCCAGCGTGTAGCCAATTATTATAAAGTTACAAAAATGGCTTGTTTTTTAGTTCCCGCATTGCATTATTTAATTTCTCAAGAGTGATGTCTGCGCAAAGGTAAGTTACGGCATTCGTGCACATTTTACGGACAACATGCTTCGGGGAGAGAGTTTCAACTATCTTTCCCATAAAGTCAGCAGAGGCCTGATACTTTATGTCTGGTGTACTTTAACTTGGGTATTACGAGTTTGTATGTACCGCCCCATAGGTGTAACTCCGCGTCATCACATAGCTGCTTGAAGCACTTATTTTTGCTCTTTTTATTGTAAACTTTAAGCGCTTGCACGCATTCGGGTGGGTCCATTGTAATGCATTGCTATGCATTAAAATTCGCTCTAATATATTTATGTATGTTCTTAACCTTTAAGCTGCTAAATCTTTAAAAATTTTAATTGGATTTTTGACCAACTTCTGAGGATCATCATTTTTTCCGATATATTTCAATCTAATACATTCTTTTCTTTTAGAGATGAAATGCCGCATTCAGCAAACGGATACAGTTAATCTCTTTATATTTATCATTAAGTGAAATGAAAACTTAGTTCCTACACTATTCACTTTTTATTTTTTTCTTTTGAACATACCACGTTAGGTAGAAAAGGTAGAAAAAAAAGGAACACAAAGCGCTTGCTTCGGGAAAAGACTGAGATCAAATCAATTATTCGTAACAAAAATTTTGCCTTTCGTGAATCATACATATGAAAGAAAATAAACTCATAATAAAAAAGCAAAGAAAAAAAGGAGGTAAACTAAATAAAAGCTAATTGACCAACAAGTGTTTCGATGAAATTAATATATAACGTTTCGCAACTATCCACCTAATTTTCTAGTTTAGCTTAACGTAAAAGCTCAGTGAATCTTGCTGTGGCTTACTTCTGTCCTGACTACTCGCTTAGCTACAATCTCTGCATGCCACGCCTATAAAAATTG